CAAAACAAAAAATAAAAGCAAATGTAAATTCTTCTGCTTTCTTGTAAGCAGTAATATTTTGCTCAGTCTATATTGGCCACTTCACAGCGGTATAAAACCCAGTTCAAAGAAGCCCAGTCTTCCTCTTTCTCAGATATCCAAATAAGAAAATGTGGCCCAGGCAAAGATTCCTCCCCAGGCCTGTATTATGATGTAGAGTTAGAGATTTCATCTCAAACTGAGCTCTGCATGTCTGGCCGAGGGGGTTTTGTTTTTTTAGAGGATGTCGGGGATAAACACTAAATTAATCATGTTTTGGCTGAACTTGCCGGGGACTGAAATTTGCTTATAGAGGCCTGTGATCACATAAAATATTAAAGACTTTTTCTTAGCACTAGCAGAAGGCTACGAAAAACACTGGGCACCGTTATCGTTTTAATGAAACAAACAAATAAATAAATCCCCATTTGATCAGAACTGGATGTGGATTACATTTAAATGTATATAAGCAGGACGAATTATGATTTTGCATACATTAATGACCCGAATCAGAATAAAATGACTAAAAATATAACTCTTGATGCTAACTTCACACCTTATTTTCGATTCAGAGTCAAACATCATTCACTTCACCAGTTAAGAAATAAACCCATTTATCTTACTGACACAAATTACAGATTAAAGAGTCTTTACAAATGACTGGGCCAATGTAAACGCGTTAGCAGAAGCGCTCTGACACGCTCTAAACTAGTTAGCCCACGTTTTCTGCGGTAAACGCATTACGCAGTTTATTCCGCCGGAAATGCATTGGCCTCGTGGACTCGCAGCTCTCGATGAGTCTGAGTTTAACAAATACATCACTTCATTACGGAGTAGTCAGGCTGCAGGGGTCCCTCAGATTAAACAGGCCTATTTAAGAACCGCGATTTACATCCCTCACACACCACGACAATCTCCATAGTAACGACACACGAACTGACCAACAAAGCTTATTAAAATGTTATATTACACCGAGAGAGAGGTCAACGGTCAAATTTTAACTAGGGGAGGAATGGGATACACACACACACACACACACACTCACTTTAGGCCTGTATGATGGTGAGAGATCAGGTCCCAGCGAGCGACGGAGGGGGTATTGGGAGAGGAGCGCAGCATGAGGCCGTGTAGGAGGGGGCGAGCGTCCACTTAAGGGCCCCCTTGCTGGGCCGGGCGAGGTTTAGTTGGTGGGGGTAAAGCGGAGCTTCATGGCACACTGCAAGAGCAAATCGAATTCTTCACAATTAGCTGAGCTTCCACGACAGGCACCAAGGTGGGAGAGCCACATCACCGACTGCTACAGCTCTGATTGGGTAATTCGTTCTCCACTATGCAAATGTGATGCTCAGAGGTTGTATGGAGGCCGGATGCAAGTCGTCAGGATGGTGCGATGGCATCAAGGGTCAACAAATATTGTAAAAACAGGTTTTAGTGTCCTGTGGGAAAAGAGCTGGGCGGTTTTATCACAAGTTGACAATGAAAATGTCCAAATAATTAGAAAAGGCCATGAAGAATGTGAATGAAGACCATACCGATTTGTAACGGGACATGTTTGGTGATCCGATGTAGTTCTTCATCCATAAACACATGACCTAATGGACAGAAATGCACAACAGTTACAGTTAGTCACCTGAAAAGGAAAAACAGATGTAAAACAACATATAAAAACTTTGCTTACCTCATTTTATGCTGTTTGTGCTCCATACTTACTTGCTGGTACTGTGGGTGCATGATGAATTTAAGAAATTTGCTCTTTTTGTGAGGATTGGGGGGTGGGGGTTGAAATGGTCTTTATTCAGCTGTTCAGATTTTTTTGTTTTCAATGCTGCTTTTGCAGCAGAGCTCTCAATATTTTTTTTCTTTTGTTTGTTTTTTTTTTTTTT